GAAGCGGCGCCGGCCGTCCCGCCATGGCCCGGCGGCCGGTACGGGCAGCCAGAGGGGACAAAAATAGCCAGCGGGGCGCGGTTTCACCCCATCCCGCTCACCCCTCGACTTTAAGGCGTTCAAGGCTTAAATCGCAGTTTCTGCAAAGAAACCCGGCAGGGTTGACACCAAGCCCTGACGTCGTTCGGCCAGGTTTGGCACTTGGAAAGCGGGAAGGCGCGGGGCTGTGTCGGGCTGTGGTCACCGAGGCTTCTGGGCAAACAATAAAGTCATAAAACCCACGCCCTAAAACCCACATTCCCAACCGCTCCCGGGTGCTTCTCTGCTCCCTGCGGTCATTCGTCTGGGAGTGGAGCAACCAACTGCTCCCCAAAACCTGCCAGCAGCGAATTGGGAGCCTGGGGCCTGGCAGATATTTTATATAAAAGAGCAATTATAACTTGTTTTTTTTTTTAATGTACCTTCCAACCTGGTCTAGTGGGACGTGTCCCTGCCCATGGTGGGGGCCGGGGGTGTTGGAACTGGGTGATCTTTAAGGTCCCTTCCCACCCAAACTATTCTATGATGTTTCGTTTCCCAGCAGATTAACAAGAAAAGCAGTCATTCCACATCTTGGGAAAAAAAAATAAAATAAAAATCCTTAGACCAGATTAGAAATAGGAAAGAAAATAATCTCTGGGGTGCAGCTGAAGCTTAAAAAACAATGTGTCCATCTCTTCCTGGCTGCAAAAGAGCACCGAAAAAAATAAAAATAAAGAATTAATCTGATCCCTAAAACCATCTGCAAAGCGATCACTGGAAAATCCTGGAAAAGCCCCTTCAGGACGAGCTGTTGCTGTCGGGTCTCCATCTCACAGGGCTTCTTTTTGGCTGCAGGCACTTGTTCTCCACGCTCTCTGATTTTGCCAAGCAAACGGGTGCCCCGGGGACAGAGGGTTTGATGAAGAGGAGGGCAGGGCTCCTCCTTATTCAGCTCTCCCAGAAAATAAAAAATGCTGGTTTATTGTTTGCTTTCCTAAACGCCAGGAGCAGCTGGATGTTTGCTGAGGTGAGGACGAGGCAGATGGATGGTGTGTGGTGAATCACAGCACCTATTTCCAGAGCTGCAAGTCCTGCTATTCCCACATAAAAAGTCTTTCCTCCCTGTGATCGCTGATGAACATTTTCTCCCTTGCAACTTCCTATTGTTCTTCGCAGTGGTAGAAATCTCAAGTGCTTGAAAACAATTATGCTGAACAGCAAAGGAGAGCTGGAACAATTTTCCTTTCTGTTTTTTTTTTCATGCCTTTCTAAACAAGAACCAGCTGAAGGCAAGTAGCATCTCTGCATAATATCAGCTAATAAAAATAAATATTCTCAGCTTTGCAGAGAACTGAGGAAGACGCAGAGACCACGTTAGTGGCAGAAGTTGAAGCTTTCCTTTGCAGGTCAGAGACAGCGCTAAAAACTAAGCTGGAAATGTGTCTTTTCGCTGGATTACTCTGGTCAATAGGAATGGCAGGACAGCCAAGCTGCTTACTAAGAATGAAATCACCTTTTTGAGGTGTATTCATCAGTTGTAACTATGATGCTCTAGGCATGTATCAGTTTTATTGCATCTGAGGTGTTTTAACAGAATAAATTCCATGAGCAAGAAACTACCAAAACCTCTTTTTAAAATAAAATATACCTACTAAGGTGTGCATTTTAGCTGAATATTTGCTTCAAGTTTGTGTGTTTCCCCATACACACTCTCCAGTGAAAACTCTGCTAACAACACAGCACAGTGAGAGCACAAATATGTTTCCTCAGCTCTGCTCACCAGCTACATTCATTACACTTAATTAGATCCACTTGGTAATATTTTTAGGTCTTTTAATTTTGTTTCAAAGGTGGATGTAACAAGCCACTGGGACCAAAAGTTACTATGGGCAAGGTGGACAGACACACACTGACAATAACATGTATATATATGTTAGTGTTCATATATATATACACACACATATATGTATTTCAAGTGCCATTTATTGCTGATTAACCTACAATCAATTTTCTATTACCCATAAAAATGAGAGGGTTGAGAGACACTGACAAAGGAAAAAAAAAACCCAACAACCAACCCACATAAATGATGAGTCTTGAAAAGCATAAGAAACCTAAACCAAGGCCAGAGCTCTGCAGTGATGAACTGGGATGGATCCACCAAGGTTGTCCCTGCAGAGGATCAGAGACGAGTCCCAGCTGATGCACCTCCCAGGAGGTGGTCAGGAGGGTCTTCTGGAGTCAAGTCCCCCATCACACAACAATCTCTGATCTGCTGTAGCCCTAACAAGTCCCAGGAGCAGCATGGATCTTTCCATGGGATCATATCATAGAATCATAAAAACATAGAGTCATAGGGGTTGGAAGGGACCTCTGAGGTTCAACCTCCCTGCTGCAGCAGGAACATCCAGGGCAGGTCACACAGGAAAGTGTCCAGATGGGTCTTGAAAGCCTCCAGAGAAGGAGACTCCACAACCTCACTGGGCAGCCTTTCCCAGGGCTCTGCCACCCTCACAGGAAAGTTCTTCCTTATGTTGAGGTGGAACTTCCTGTGTTGTCACTTGGTACCATTTCCCCTTGTCCTGTCACAGGCACCACTGAACAGAGAACCCATTCTCTGGCCCATTCTTGACACCCACCCTGCAGGTATTTATAGACATTAATAAGGTCTCCTTTTAGTCTTTTCTCCAGATTAAACAGCCCCAGGACTCTCAAGCCTTTCCTCATCAGACAGATGTTCCAGTCCCTTCATCATCCTTGTAGCCTCCATTGGACTCTCTCAAATAAATCCCTGTCCCCCTTGAACTGGGGAGCCCAGCACTGGACACAATACTCCAGATGTGGCCTCACCAGGGCAGAGAAGGTTGTCTGGACTCAGAATGACTGCACAAAGTCAGCTTGGATCTTCCAGCCTGAACCAGGGAGCTTACTCAAAGATGACAAGAGACTTGACAGCATTTATGCCTGATAAACAAAAGGTCAAGAGTGCTCCAGCTACATACTAAAAACATGAAAATAAAGACAACATGGTTTAGGATTACTTCATTAATACAGAAAAATGGTTAAATGTTCTGCAGGTGAACTTCTCTCAGCAAATTCATATAAAATAAACAGATTCATTGTGGGTGAAGGAAGAAAATGCAGCATGTGAAAACACCAGTGTTTTTTTCTAGACCTGGTTGTCTCCCAGATGTTAATCACGTTCTCAGTTCTCATTACTTACATCCTCAGTCTCTGAGTCATCAGTTAAGGCAGCTCAGCAGCACAGAGCACTTTCTGACTGTTCAGAAAGCAAAACAACAGAGAAACTTGTCTATGGCAGAAACAGTTCCTCAGTTCCTGAGGAGGCAAGGCTCAACAGTGTCAAAAACCACAAGGTATAAGTTGTTCGTACTAATAATTCTATTTTGCAGTTGAGGCAAGCTAAGAACTCATGTAATTAAAACAGCTTCAAGCAGTTAATCACGGAATTTTTGTGGCTTGGCCATATTAGGCTGGTACCTTATCACAGAATCACAGAATGATTTGGGTTGAAAGGGACCTTTAACGATCATCTAATTCCAACTCCCCTGCCATGGGCAGGGACACCTCCCACTGGACCAGGTTGCTCCACGCCCCATTCAACCTGGCTTTGAACACTTGGAGGGATGGGGCAACCACAATTAGCCCTAAATGTGTT